AGGAGCAAGGACGCTACTAGGGGCTCCTGGCATCGCTACTAGGAGCAAGGACGCTACATGACGCTACAAGGGGCTCCTGGCCTTACTACTAGGAACACTACTAGGAACAAGAGGCTACTATTAGGCCTTTTTTAGAGCCCATCCCTTCCACCCACCTTTGGAAGTCTTGGAATTGTGATGCTGGTTGACTGGCCCAACTGCCTGGGACGGATATGGCGGCAGTGACGAAGGGGTTTGTTGCTAGCAACGAGCTGCACACGTACAGTTAGTAAGTTAGCAAACTAATGCAACCTATATTAGACCTTTCTTCCTTTTCCTTTTCTTTGTTTCTCATAGCAATGGCAATGGCCTCCAACCTACTAGCGATGGCCTCCGACCTACTCGTTCTATACCTGGCATCGTGTCCCTTTCCTAGGGCCAAACAGTTGAAAAAGCTCCGTGACAAGAGAAGAAGCCAAAGGACAGGAAGTGTGGAAACCACATGTGAAATGCCCTCGTATGCTGCAGTCATCAACCACCTAACCACTGTGTGTACAGATATATATATATATATATGCGTGACTGTGTGTATTCATATACATATATATACAGTATATACAACAGCTATATGAAGTCGAACGGTTTTTGCAATTTGGTGGTCAGTCATTCACTTCGCATGTGATATGCCCTGGACCACCCAGCTCTAGACGAGATGCCGTGCCGTCTCAAACCAGTTTGTGCCAATTGCGAACAAGTGATCGACAAAACAAACATAAATGAAGGACAAGGGCTGTCCTGACACTGTCAAGCATGGTTCAACAGTTTTCAAAAGGGGTTCCACAAAGCCTACTGCAAGGGTTGTTACAGTATTTGTTCCATTTTGCAGATCCATTTGATGGTAATTGGAACCTGTTTAGATGATTCTGCAAGTATAGCCTAGCACCTTCCATTGGCAGCACACAAGCTTGTAAATCCTGACAGGATGGATGGAACTGTTCTACCTCCAGACCAGGAGGACAGAAAACAATCGGAGTGGATTTGTCCCGACTCCCAACCATTCTAAAAGGCATTCCGGACAACTCAGGGTGCAAAACACTGTTGCCAATGCCAATGTGGATGTTCTTTCATTTTTCGCCCTGCAGAATCCAACACGTTTACAGTGGAGTTTTATTTGGTTGGTCGGGAATATTTGAGTCAAGATGTTCCACTTCTATATAACCCTTTCGAATCCTCTCCATAGGTTTGGTGATCTAAAAGATCAAAAAGTCATCAGGAAAAAGCCGGACAGAACTTTTCAATCCAAGGCTTTGATGTTGACCATCCGTCCTGCAGGCTTCTTTGGCGAAAGAGATTGAGGCCCACGGTCCAATCGCTTTTTTGATCTTTTTTGCTTCGCTTCGCTTCTGTTGTGCACGAACGGAGCACCGTGAATACAGTACATTCGATAGCCTCGCAACTCCAGGCCTTGGAGAATCGGCTTGACCTGAGCAAGGGAGGTGTTGGGCACCCAGCTGCCAGCCAAGCTGGGTTGAATTTTGCCGCTCTAGTGACTCTAGTGACTGCAGTGGTTTGCTTGATGTATTTGCATGTCACCTCTTTCAGTGCTGGCAAATCTCCAATTTCCTGATTCTAAACTTTTATATATAATTGCATTGTGCAACATTCATCAACTCCTGGATCCTAGACTAGAAGTCAGGGATGAGTTCATTGTCCTTCACGCCACGCCATTTTTACTGGACATGAGGCTGCAGAGCTGAAATCCGCTGGCATTGCCATAGTTGCTCCCCCGGCATGTTTGGTGAATGACCTCAATGGTGTTTGTTAAATGAATCCGAGCCACTTGATTGACCATTCTTGGGTTCTCGATGTTTGTTTCAAGATGTTTCAAGACATGCAGCCCAAATATGCCCAAATCATCCAATCACCTTGACCTCAAGCCGGACATGTCAGGTCTTCAGAATGCAGGCGGACCAAGTCGCGTGACGTGGCTACAAACAGAGCTCTCAATGCTTTCGACAACTTTCGACTCATTGAGTACTTTCGCTGGTTGTATACTGAAGCTGCTGCTGCAGCCGGAACCCCTTTCACTGCTTTCACGGCCTTTTAACTCAGTCAATAGTGCCCTTGACCTTTGTCAGAAGTTATAAGTAGGCTATGACCCAGCCAGGCCGGCCATGACTCCACAGCACGTAAATCAGACTTGATCACAGCAAGTCGACATGTGGGACAAACAGCAAGTCGCTCTTTGCGCTCGAGCTGTAGGTAAGGGAAACCAGGGAAATTTGTCCTGGTACCCTGGGGTAGAACTGAGATTTCATGGCACTGATGCCAAGGTGTTTGCGCCACTGGGACGGCTTCATGCAGCGCTGGTTCTACAAGACACCTAGCTCAGGCAAGTCGTAAGTGCTTAGATCGCTTTACTGTGATTCATTCTTTACGTTCCTTCTTTGTAGAGCTTCGATGAAAGCAAAGAGTACATAGGCACGCGCTTCCTCAAACTATGTCGTCATGTTTTGTTGTTGATCGAGTGTTATCGCCGCTATAAAGTTAACATATGCATTGCTAGGCGCTAGTAAACTCGGTTATGCTGAAGATGCCACAAAACACGAGATTCTCACCAGGTGCTTGGTGCCTGACTTAGCTGGGAGATGACAGACTGTAAAGCGCATAGGACGAGAAAGCTGGTTTGTACATTTGTACTTGCTTCTGGGATCTAGACAGACACCCCTGACAAAGGCGCGCTTGGTCGTGTAAGTGCAGGTGGATTGAGAAGAAGTGACATGGCAATCATGGATTTTGAGTTGGTCAGTTGCATTTCATTCTTTTGGTTTTTACGGTGCTGGTTCAAACTCTGAGCTCCGCAACATCGCGCACCATGTGTTTTTTTCTCCTTCGCTCACCGCGGCGAACGGCTGACCTGAAAAGAACCATGATTGACTCCACAAGGTGCTCCCTCCTGAGTGATGCTCAGCCTTTGCCCAAGTTCCAGGCCCAGCAGTGTTTCCGGTCTCAGGATGCCTCTCAATGTTCCATAAAGTCAAGCTCCACCTCTCTCTCTATAGTATATGTCTAATTAATATACTTGGCATCCAGAAGGGCAAGCTTGCCAGTTTGCTGATGGCAACTTGGAACATTTGACGAGTTTCTGGATCGCAGCATTAACATTGATCCCAAATGATCCTGGGAGCAAAGACGCTTCTACGGGCTCCTGGCCTCGCTACTGGGAGCAAGGACTCACAAACCTCCCCCTGCCAGGTTGGTGGCAGACCGCTGCTGAGACCTCAGAAAGTGTGTGAGCATTCTGGGGTTCTGGAATCTATCCTGCTGTTTTCTATGATTTTCGATGCATGTCTTTTAAAATAGCTTTTGTTCTTATAGTTTCTTGGATTTGGCGCTTTTAGATCCCAACCCCCAATGACCCTCTTGCCAAGGTACCAGCTGAGAGTCAGCCGAGCACCAAACCCTACAGACATCAACTGGCGAGATGTGAAGGACTCAGCGACTGCAACTGATTTTGGTCAAACTCCAAGAAGTCTCATTGGCTGCGCTGCGGCTGATCCAGGCTGGGCGCACGACGACAGAATTCGTTTTGCGGAAGGCCGCCACCATCGTGTGGGCCAAAGTGCAAAAAGCGTTGAAGAATAAGGACTGGCTAGCCGGCCTCTGAAGCTTCCAAGCAATGTTTAGGCGGATGCGTGTGAAAGCAGAACGTACTGTAGCAATATGTAGCAATCATACCAGCATCAAGGGGTGATGAGGGTCATCTGAATTTGGATGCTAATGCTCACTTTGTCTTCCCTGTTGCTCAACCCGGGACAGGTGCCGAAGTGAAACATGTACGTTCGGAGAGACAGATGGCGACACAAGCCACAAGCCCGTCACTGAGGTGGCCTTGACCATCATCCTCATAGGCTGGACGGATCTGGACGGTAATTATATATATAGACTATATAGATGTAATTAGTGATGGTTGGTCTATCGGGTGGAATGTGTACTATGGCCCAGAACCTGCAACCGTGGCAGTGCTTCCACAAATCATTCATTTTTGTCGTGTCCTGCGTGCCAGTCTCCTACATCATGGTTTTTGTCCTCAGCAGAGTTTCCCGACAGGTGCGCGGACGCGTGACACTTCTTTCTGTGCAAACATGTTTGGCAAAGTTTGGCAAGGTTGTCATCCTTAGATGTCCTTACCATTCTTTATACAGTATTCTTTGTTGCGAGCACAGGGACCATGGGCCATGGGCGGATTGTGTTCGACAAGGATTGTGCGCGTGATGCTTTGTGGACCCTGGAGTCAGGCTTGATTTCTGACACATACATGAGCCAGGAATTATATGGAATTGTCGTGCCGAAATTCTGCAGACATGTTTGCAGCAAGTGTTTCTTCAGAGTCACCCGGTCGGTCAAGTTCAAATTCCAATCAGAATCAGCGAGGTAGCGTCCGCTTCGACAGAATCGGCAGTTTTTGGTGCTTAGCTACATGAGATGTCCGACAGTTTCAATATCTTTCAATCATTTGCTGAGCTGGATTCAAAAAGTTGTTTGTTTGCTTCAACTCGATTCATCCAATTTCGCCATGGCACCGCGCATGCCACGGAGACGCTGGTGCTGGCGCTGGCCCTAGATAACTGGGCACCAAGATTTTTAGACAGCTGTTCAGAACAGGTACAGCCATGTGAGAACATGTGAGGACGTTTCGGAGCTATTCGGTGTCCACGTTCCAACTGCACCGACCTTGTTTGATAAGTCTTCACAGAATACTAGGGATGGCAAGTCCCCACTGCCTTTGGTGGAACATGGTGGAACTTTGCGGGGCAGTCTGCAAAGTTTACATTTACTGCACATGTTATATATATATAGATAGATATATATATATATAGTTTGTTTGATACTTGTTAAGTCCCTGGACCGCAAGGGCTTTGCGGATGGGACTTTTGGGTCACCGACCTTCGTTGGAAACCGCACCGCACCAAGGGCTCTACTGCCACTGGGCTGGGCATTCCTGGCACCTGTGGCGCGGCATGGAGGGCTCAGCACAGAGCGAAGTGAGCGCAGCCGCCCTCGCGCACTTCACGTGCAGCGGGCAGCAGAGGAGCGAGTTTTGGTGTGAAAACCTACGATCTTTGTGACACAGGAAGCTTCTTACAAGTTCATCGCTACTAGTAACAAGGGCATCGCTACCGCTACTAGTAGCTTCTTGCTAGTAGTAGTAATGCCCTTGTTACGAGTAGCGATGCCCTTGTTACTAGTAAGGACACGTTTGTGGCATATGTGGTAGTACCCCATAGCCATACTATCATACTTTGTCATAGTTTTGTGCTGGCCAGGTGTACCTGTAACTGTATTCAAGCCAGTGCTTAAACCTGCGCTGGTTCTGCTCTTGCGCAGTCCCTTAACAATAATTTCGCCATGAGCCAAAAAAAGCTTTTAGTCAGACTGGGCGCCATGCCGCAGGACACAGAACCTGCTGACAATAAGCAGGCCGGGCTGGTTGTATATTCAATTCCTTTCAATGGGTCAACGCGCAGTGCAAACACAGTCGTTGAGCAGCAACATGTACTAGCCATCAAGTGGTACTGATATCACACTATCACCATTTGGCTTTCCACAGTCCTGCTAGGAGGCACTGAAAAGCTTGGCGGAGTCAGCTATGACCCGCGAGTGCTTCGGCTTCAGCCAATAATCCACCACCCCAGAAGAGGTGTTCACTATGTGTGAACTTCCTCAATTGAATGCAATGGATCAGGATTAAACCGTAGCATCATTTAGAGGTGTGAGTTTGCATCCTGTGAGCCTTTTAGTTCAGACAAAGTAAGACAGGCAAGCAACATATTTGCGATATTTGTTTGTCATGAATTGGAGAGGGCTGAAGGCTGCCGACCCATTGGCCAAGGACAGAACCAGAAGAGGTCTTTGAAGCAATCCGAGTGCTTGAGAAAGCCAAGACACTGGGATCAAAGACGATTGCTACAGCTCGTCGGTCCGAACAAATCGACACCTCCCATACAAAGCCCATCACAGCCCCTGGCATTTGCATGCATTCGCCGTCAGGTGTCTCCTTAATAAAAGCAAATTGATTGCAATCAGGTGTGTTTTGTGTCCTAAGCCGGTTGATTGAGGGCAAGAGTTCCCCGCTAAGGAACCGGACCGGCGAATCTGGATTTGCCCAGTTTTTGACCGGCGATTGGCGTCTCATTTACACGACCGGTACGAAGAAGACAGAGGATGCACCTCAGCTCACTGTCATGTTCCTTTCATTTTTCTTCTTGACCGCAGGGAAATTGGTGCCAAACCACGATTTGCAAATCAGAGTGATGGAATATGATGGAATATAATCAAGTCTAAGCCAATCTACTCGTAGTGTGAGCGTACTGAGGATATCGGTCGCATCAACTATGTGCCGATCACAGCAGTGCAGCGGTTCGACATGGAGAAGAAGTTCATCCGGAACGGAGTGACCTGATTCACCTAAGTCACAGAGCCCGTTCCCACAATGCTTAAGAATTGGAAGGACTTGTGCAATGGACTTGATCGTCTCTGATCGCACGTAGCTGGAAGAAATTCCAAGGTCTACCTCGGGCCCATCTCAATCGAATTTGAAGGGAGCCTCCGCTGGCTTGAAGATCAGCGGAGATTGGAGTTCGACTTTGAGGAGCCCTGTGCCACAGGATTGTGAAGTACGACATGTCTTCTGTTTTGTTGAGTGAGTATGAAGCTGCTACTATTTACTATACGTTGCTATGTTGTTTCCAGTATTTTCCAGTTATATTATATATATATGCACACCAGTTTCCACTGGCATTATATAACTGTCCACAATCCTCTATGCCAAAGTGTCATGTCAATGTTGACAGGAGCTTAAAGTCTGCGGAGCGAGCCTGTCCCTGCCAGATTGGCTTCGCAGTATGGCGGGTATGAAGAGTTCAGCACCTTGGATGGGCAGTGTCAGAAGATAATTACTAGTTTAGTAGCTCCTTGTTACTAGTAGCGATCGCCTCCAATCTAAGAGCGATGGCCTCCAACCTAGTAGCTTCTTGTTACTAGTAGAATCTGAGGGTGCCAAATGTCCAGTTGAATCATGAATCCTAAATCCTGAGAAAAAACATTCTACAGTAAATCCATCCATTGAGACTCCTTACAAGAAGCAGCCGGCCTTCAACTTTGTGGCTGTCGATGACAAGATTGCTGCCGCCCGCGGGGCCGGTGGTGGTGTGGCGCTTTGGCTCCGCAGCCTGACCGCACACGGTCCAAAGTGCGCCTGCAATCATTCACCGACACAAGAACAAACACAAAGTGTAAATTTCTGTGTTTTTGGTTGATTTTCATAACGAATCACTAACATACTTTTGTCAAACAAACGTAACAGTTTGTGAACGCTTGGCTTATTATAGCTTGTTCTTTTTAATCTGACGTTTATGGCATTTCTTGGCTTTTTCTCCCAGTTGCTTTCAAACAAGTGCTTCTGAGCTCGGGTAGGGGCACCTTTGTGGTGTATGAGTATGGGTTGGCATGTGGCAATGCATCATTGAGTTTTGGTGTATATTTGGTCCATACGTCATATATTATACTGTACATATAATTGTCATCAGAACCCTGCTGTAGTATGATTCGTAAGCACCGTGCAGATTTGTGAGCCTCGAGGCAACGAGCTGGCGACGTAAGTGTGCACCATCAGAAGTGCAGGCAGGGCCTTTGACCCAAATCCGTGTGCACCAGTGCAATCATTGGACAATTGGATATGCTACACTGGATCATCCCGCACACATGCTTGGTTAAATTATTACAAGGCACGCTTGTGCTTGCCAACCATAGCACCATCAAACCATGTCAGTCATTGAACATTCTTACACTGCCGGGCAAAATGAGAAATTGTGGATCGCTTTTCAAGATTAAAGTTGGGTACCGGAACTCTGCTTGCATGAGCCCAGGAGGAGGACAAGTGAGTCTTGGAAACCTGAGCGCCTTGAGTTCTCAATTAACTAGTTTAGAATAATAGACTATGTCACACTTATTGACGGGCGCGTGGTCTAAGACCTTCGGCATTCAAGAGCGAGGAAGGCGCTGGCAAAATCGCTTGTAAAATGGGTTGCGATATGGCGCGATGCATGTTGCTCGAGTTCCAAGTCTTGGAACTGAACCAAAACACCTCCTGCTAGAGCTGGTATGTGGATAATTGCCTGTCTTTGTATTTGTTATGCTTTGATTTGTGCTTTAGACCTTAAGTAGACCTGTTTTTGTATGTTTTTGTCCTTTCTTTCTGCCTTCCTTCCTTTCGTCTCAGCTTCTTGGTTTTGGTGATATCAACCAAATTTATGAGTTTAGCCATTGCCCATTTGGCCAGGCCGTGAAACCTCCGCCTGGGATTAGCCGGGAGGTGCCCCTGCAACTCTTTGTTGGGATTTGAGGGACTGAGACTGAATTTGTTGTCAATCCACTCGTTGCCGAATCATCACGCTGCCAGTACATTGTTTCGCTGACGGTCACATCTTTGCTGCCAGCAACAGCAGCCTCTCGACTTCATTTGGCAGATTGGACAACTTACCTAGATTCTAGATACTACTCACGCTTCCTGCATGCATGATATTTCTCTGAAACTACAAGCGGGAAAGAGATGGAAAGAGCAGGGCGGAGGTCGAGTTTCCTTGCTTTCAGTGCTTCGCACGGTCGCGTGAACGGTGCGCAACAAGCGGTCTCAATGAGCATCAGCGGATGCTCTGCAATTGACGCTGAGCCGCCGCAAGCATTTCCAACTAAGATCACCATCATCAACGTTCTGTTGATGCTGGTTGCAAGGCGAGCTTTGAAGTTGAAGTGGATCGGTCAGGCTCTTGCAACATGTATGGTGCAACTGGTAGAAGCCAAGTGAAAACTCACTGGAGTAGTGCGGAGATGCGTCAAGAGCGAGCCTGAACCTCTTCTTGAAACACTCCTGCAGTTCATGTTATGGGATTGCCTATGATTTTGCCTCAGGTGGTTTGGAGAACGTGAAGTCCATTTGACAAAGTGCCGCTCCCAGCTATTCTCCAACGGTGTTGGCTGACCTTGAAGAATGCGGATGCTCTCATCAAGCATCCAAAATGGCAATTGGGAATGGTTCAACATGTTCAACACAAGAAGTCCGAATCCGATGCAATGCGGTCGAGCTTAGCCAGCGGAAGATCTACGGCTTTACTGTTCAAGCTTTGCTCGGTCCATGTTCAATATGTGCTGTTGCTCAGCCGTGAGGACAGGAGAGGCAGCAGCAATCACTTGGTACATGACTGCCCCTTGGCATCAGTATGAAGAGGCAAGCTTTGTGTCCCTTTGGTACCTTCATCACTCTTGCCGATGTCAAACTGATGGCATCTCAATCAAAGGTTGAGCAACAGGCTCAAGCTTTGCATACTGCAACATGGGTTTTGGACTTAACTTGGTTTTGCTGGCATGGTCAAGTCAGCGAAATCAGGTGGCCATGGTTATCAACGGCGCAGTGGTGCTGTGGAAACCTGGTATTGAAGTATGAGATGCAGTTCCACGATCATTAGGGTCATTGGGGAAATGCCAGAGGGTTTTGCAACAGCTGGCTACATAGTGATGACTCCTTGGTGTGATTGACTTTGTCAAGGAACATCTCCTGGGTTCCTCCGGACTGGTTCAAGCACCCTGGCTACATTGAGCTTTTATAATGAATGCTTCTTGCAACAGACTGCCCCTCCGAGCCGGTTGAACCGCCACGTGTGACCAGCAAGATCAAATCGACTGATCCTCGCTTTCCGAGCCGAAGTTTGCTGCGTCATCCCTGTTCACTGAGGGCGTCTGGCCTGGTCAGTGACATGTACGCGATGTTAGCATGACCCTCGGGCAAGAAAGAATCATCCAAATGTGCATGAGGGGATGGAATCATGTTACACACACGTATATATATATATATATATACACACATATAGATATATTTACAGCCTTCGGCATGCCGCCGGCAACCAGCTCGAGCCCGCATTGGCAGGCAGCCTAATGATGCTTATTAACAGTGTTCCACAGTTCTATTTTCGTTCCAAGGCAGGGACAAGATCACCTCTTCTAGGCTGAAGCAGCTATATAATCCGGCACGTCTCTTTGATTCAACGCGCTTTTTCCTGTTCTCGCCATGGCCTAGTCTGAAGCAACCGGGGCTGGGCAGGCTGTCGAAACATCCGCGCGGAGAAACAAACCGTAGATTGAAACCAACCGTAGATTGAAACCAATGGAAACCAACACAAGGCAGACGAAGCAAGACAATCCACAAAGCCGGTACTTGAAAATGAGTCTTCTTCCAAACTACTTGGCCTTTTGCATGTTTTCCTTGTCAGATCTTTTTGCCGACCGTCTTGAGGAATTGCGAGTCGCACAAGATATTCTTTTTCACACACAGAAGGCTTCAAAGCGACCGAAGAATTTCTAGATCTGGCATGATTTGTCGTTTTTTCTTCAAAACCGTTTGAAATGAAAGACCCAGAATGACATCGAACAACAATACCCTGCTCAATCAGACTTGTTGGTGCATTGGAGTTGCACATTTGGCTGGGTGAGTTTGTTGATGTTTATTTCAAGGTTGTTTGACCATGAAATGGAACGAATCCGATCAGAGGTTGTCTATTCTGATCCAGCGATCCGAACCGGCATGTCTCAGTCGAATCACCTAAGCGGAACCAATTGAAACCAACACAAGCAATGCGAACCAAGACTATCCACAAAACATGACCTTGAAAACGACTCTTCTTCCAAACTACTTGGCCGTTTGCATGTTTTCCTTTTCAGATCTTTTTTTCCGACCGTCTCCAGGGATTGCGACACGCACCAGATATTCTTTTTGGCTTCAAAGCGACCGAAGAATTTCTAGATCTGGCATGATTTGTCGTTTTTTTCTCCAAACCGTTTGAAATGAAAGACCCAGAATGACATCGAACAACAATACCCTGCTCAATCAGACTTGTTGGTGCATTGGAGTTGCACATTTTGCTGGGAGAGTTTGTTGATGTTGATTTCAAGCGAAGTCGTTTTACAATGAAATGGAACGAATCCGAATCAGATGTTGTCTATTCTGATCCAGCGATCGACATGTCTCAGTCCAATGGTTGTCTATTCTGATCCAGCGATCGACATGTCTCAGTGCAATCACATTAGACGTAGAGAGGGGTGGGGTGTCAGGCTGTCGAAAAATCCGCGCGGAGATACAAACCGTAGGTTGAAACCAACACAAGCAATACTAACCAAAACAATCCACAAAACACGCCGGCAGGCCGGCGGATTATATACGTATATTTAAATAGTCTTTTTAAATACATACAGTACCTAGTTTTCGCATATTCAAGTTGAGTGGGGGGGCACCGTGTGAGGCCATCAATTTCATATTTCCGCCACTGATGTTCCTGATGGACTGACCATGGTGGCTATGTCATGCAACCCTGCGTCGTCCTACGCTTCATTTCATCTTGATGATGTTCAGTGTCACCCGGAAACTCCCACTTCTTAGAAGAAGCTGCCTTTAATAACTTTAATACTTTAAGAACAGATTCTCAGAATAAAGAGCTAGCTGGCAGAGCAGGTCACAGACGTTGCCAGACTCCTCGCCACTCAGCTGTGGGGCTCAGCCCTTCAGCAGGACTATGAGCTCGCGATGAATTGGTTTTTCCGTCGACGGCTCACGCCCCAGAAGCTGCAGGACGCCGTTGGATCGACGGCTGCGCAAGCGAAGTCGTTGACCCAACATGCTTGTGTGTTCTGTGTTCTTGCATTTACTCTAGTAGACTAGTAAGGCATTCTCCAGGCATAGGCGTCGTAGGGCATGACCATTTGGATCAACTCTTTATCCTCGAGTCTATAAAGAGTCACAAAGTCAAGGAACATACCAAACAAAAGCTGTAGTAACAAGAAGCTACTAGCAACAAAGGGCATTGCTAGTAGGAGCAAGGACGCTACACCCTGGATTACTAGTAGCTCC